GGGTCCAAGTGGTTGAGTATCAGAGTGTTCCATCTCATTTCCCATTGGGATTGCTGTAGGTGATCTGGAAGTCTGGTTTTGAGACTTATTTGTGTGTTTTCTCATTTCAACTGGGGTGGGGGGCTGTTAGCGCCTGCACGGATTACCTCCTCTGAGCTGGGAGAGGTGGGACAGGGGCCAGGAGCAGCGGTAGGGATGGTGACCCCAAAGCCCTTTCCTGTGGGCTGGGAGTAGCGGGAGGGATGGTGACTGGGAAGCCCCTTCCTCTGGTCCAGGAGCAGTGGGATGTTGGCTGAGAAGCCCCTACCTCTGGTCCGGGAGCAGTGGGAGAGATGGTGACCGGGTAGCCCCTTCCTCTGGACCAGGAGCATTGGGATAGCAGCTCAGAAGCCCCTACCTCTGGGCCAGTAGCAGCAGGACTCAGTACCGTGGTGTGGTGGTCTGTTGTCTTCTGCGTTCTTGTAGTGTGGAACCAGGTGGCTGCCTGTCTGCAGCGGGGTGATTCAGGGTGTTCCACCTGACTTGAGACCTCTATTGGGCGTGCACAGACCTTCCTGTCTGCAGCGGGCTGATTCGGCCTGTTCCCTGCTACTCGGGACCTCGGTAGGGCGTGGGCAGACCTGCCTGTCTGCAGTGGGGTGATTTGGTGTCTTCCGAGCGACTTGGGACCTTGGTAGGGCGTGCCAATTCCGGGAAATTAACCGTGTTTGAGAAGCATAAAAAAGAATAGAAACAGTAAGTTTCCACTGGCCATGTAAAACAGTGACTTAAAATATGCACTGAATGTGTCATTGTGGAATCACTGCATGGCTATGCTGAAGGCGGTGTTGCAGAGGCAAAGGCAGTAGCTGTGTGTTGAGGAGTGAATGGGAATAAGAAAGTAGACCCTAGAAATACACATTTATTATTCTTAAAGGGAAGGAGAGAGTAGACAATAGGTAATGAGTGAAGAAGGATGAGGTAAGACTCTTTTTAAAGAAACAAGTTTTATGCATAGGTTGAGAAGAAGGTGCTTGCAGAGAGGAAGATGTTGGAGAAAAGAGGATGACTGGAGCATGCGAGTCACTTCACTTTGGGCAGGGGCCAGGCCTCTTCTATTCTACTGAGCAGGAAAATTAGGTAGAAATGTGGGCATATTTTATAGGTAGGATAGATGAACTTAGTTTCCTAACTCCTTTCACGCTTGTAAGTAGAAAAAACATACTAAGCATATCTTTTCCATTATTGTTAAACAGGAAAGTTCACTGTCCAGGGCACAGTCTCCTCCAGTACCTGCAAGGAAAAATCAGCTCCGTGCAGAAGGTAGAGTTAACTATTAAATCTGTAATCTGGAATATTTCTTTCATGTTTTGATTGCAAAAATAATAGCGGTGCCAAATACCCTTCCTCTAAGTTCTTCCTGTCGTAAGATCTTACAAAGCCAGGAAGTTAACCTCAGTATACTCTGAAAACTGACCTTTATCAGCTTCATCAGGTTTTATTTGTATTTGTGTGTATGTGGTTTTAGGCGTTTTTAACCCTATACTGTTCGTGTAGCTACCACCGCAGCCAGATTTTAGAGCAGGCCTGTTACCTTGAGGAACTCCCTGTGACTGTACCTTTATAGCTCCACTCTTCACCACCAGAAATATCTCTTAGCTTTTGAAATTCCTGTACTATCAGAAATGTGTTTTGTGGTCTTAATGATATTCATAAATATGATTGTGTCTATTTGTGTATTTGTAAAACATTAAAAATATATTTCATAAAAATTCCTCTCTGAACATTTTACAGTTTTTATGTAAGGTTGGATTTTAATGTTTAATCTTTTGTTCTTATACTTGCCTCTTTAACAATGGGAAATTTTAGAGGAGAGAAAAAATGTAATTATGGAGTTATCAGAAATGAGAAAACAGCTTCGCAGTGAAGAGAGGCGTTTACAAGGGCGGTTGCTCCACATGGACAGCGATGATGAAATTTTTATAAAGTAAGTTTAGAAATGCATCTTTCTTTCTTTCTTTCTTTCTTTCTTTCTTTCTTTCTTTCTTTCTTTCTTTCTTTTCTCTCTCTTTTTCATTCTTGTTTGTTCTGTTCTGTTCTTTTCTTTTTTTTTCTTTTCTTTTCGAGACAGGGTCTCGCTGTGTAGTTCAGACTGGCCTTGATCTCACTATGTAGTCCAGGCTGACCTTGAACTTGTGGCAATCCTCCTGCCTCAGTCTCCCAAGAGCTAGGATTACAGGCATGTGCTACCATGCCCGGAAGTTTTTTGTTTTTCTTGAGTTATTTTTATCTTGTGTTCCCTATCTAATAATTTTGTAGTTTGGGAACATCATTAATTCATTTTACAATTTCCTTACTTTTCTTTTCATAGTCTTCTACAATTAGGTGTAGAAATTTGGTCCTCAAGGGAAATAATAACATAGGAATAGAAAATTTCAGGAATGGAATTATCACAGACAGTTTCATGTTAGAACTTTTAAATTTTCTTCAATAATATAATACTTTCAGGAATAATTATTTTCTAGCAAACATTGGCTGCCAAACATCTTTGATCATTTTTGTTAAAAGGACTCAAATGTTCTAAATTTTTAGTAGGTTGTAAAATCAGCATAGTGGCTAACTACTACCACTTTTTTCTTTCTTTCTTTTAGTTTTTTTTCCTTGGTACTGGAGATCAAACTCAGGACCTTGCACTTGTGAGGCAAGCAGTGGCACCACTGAGCTAAATCCCCGGCCCTTCTTTCTTTTTTAAAAAAATAAGCTTTCTATTTTGAGATTTTAGGTTATGAAAAAGTTGTCAACATGGTACAGAGCTTCTATATACCTTCAGTTTTCCCTGTTGTTAACTTCTTATATTACCAAGGAGCATTTGCCATAACTTAGAAGCTACCCAGGACCTCCTGTATGGTAGGCAGGTGCTCTACCACTGAGTTCCATTACCAGTCCTTTTTAAAAAAATTTTATTTTTTGAGACAGGGAGGGTCTCCCTAAGTTGCCCGGTCTGCGTTTGAACATGTGATCCTCCTTCCTCACCTTAGCTGGGATTACAGGTGTTTATCACCACACCTGACTCAGAGTTGGTTCTTTATTCTACTTTCATAAATATCTTCACAAAAATAATCTCTCATTTATTAATTAATTCTCCACAATTATAAGCTCCTATTGTGTGTGAGGCACAAAATAAAGATTATATAGCTTACATGAAAATAAAATCTAATAACTTAACAGCCTATTTAACTATTAGTGTTATGGAAACTAGAGAGGAACAATTTAAAATTCTCTTTAGAGTCTTTTTTGATGTTTGTTTTAATGAGTTTCCATAGAGTTCCTGATACCCTAGGTATATATTAGAGGTCTGTGTCAGCCTTAGTAGGGTTGTTTCATGGTCTTAGTGTGTATGCTTTCTGCTAGAAAGAAAACTCCATGAGAGTAGGCACATTGCTTTTGGGGGCCTCAGCTATTCCTGCCTAGGAATTTAGAGAAGATTTAATAAAGAAGTGAGGGCAGGGCTCTGTGATCAAATGTTATATGATTATAGCCTAGAGCTACATTTTCAAAAAGAAGAGGACCTACTTAGTGCTGAGGGAAGCAGCAGTAGATTTTTAAGAAAATACTGTTTCAGGACTAGAATTACCATCACCATCTTTATCCTCACTTCATATTCCTTTCCTAAGATATCTGCCTAGTATACTAATTACCTAGGAAGCAGTATATCAATGAATTGTTAGGGATCAAGTCCCCTGGAAGCTTTTTATAAAATCATTGTTGGGGACTCTACACAGTATCCTCTATATTGAGCAGAATGCTAATACTATAGTCCTATAGTTTGTACTTTGCGCTGAGAGGAAGGTAGCATTTTTAAACATTAGGACATGTTTGTAGTATGTGACGTTTACAATCATCTTGGAGTACATGTACATAATACATCTCGATTCTTTTTTAAAAAATCTCCTTCCCCTTCCCTCCTGCCACCCTCCTTCCTCTTCTAAATGCCCTCTCCCCATTTTCATTCTTGTTGATATTATTAATCTTGTCTCCTGTTTATTGAGGCTATTAGGTTCCTCTACATGGCATATCTTTATTCTACTTATTTCCCCTTCCCCTCCCTTTCTTCTCTTTCCCCCCCTTACCATTTCCAAGAAATCTATCCCCTTGTCTCCTTCTGTTCATCCTTTATTATACTCCTTGTTTGTACTTTTCAATACTCAAATGAGAGATACTATACAGTATTTAAGCCTGTATGTCTGATTTATTTCACTCAACATTGTATTTTCCAGGTGCATCCATTTCCTTCAGATGTCTCCAATTTGTCTTTCTTTATAGCTCAGTAGTAGTCTATTATGTATCAAGACCACATTTTCTTTATCTAATACTCTGTTGGTGGGTATACAGGCTGCTTCCAGGATTTAGCTATTAGGAATTGTGCTGCTATAAACATTGGTTTGCATGTGTTGCTATAGTATGTCTTAGGCTCTTTGGGGAAGATACTTAGAAGGGGATAGCTGAGTCACATGGAGTTTCTAATTGTAGTTCTTTGAGGAATAGGAAGGAAACATTTTCTGGTCACTTAGTTCATATTTGGGTTCTGTACTAGGTACATTATGTTATTTCTCTTAATTCTCTTGCTCTCAACATGATGATAACGGATGGACCTTACATCTTACAGATAGTGAAATCAAAGTCAAGCTGCTAATAAATATCAGAGCTGGTCTTTGAAACTCAATTTATCTGCCCTCAAATACTGTGATCTTCAAGTTCAAGTCTAGTCTGGGCAACTTAGTGATTTACTGAAACCCTGTCCAGATTTAAAAAAAATAAAATTACCAAAAAATCTGGGGCTACAGCTCAGTGTGAAGGTCATCGGTCCAGTCCCAGTGCTACAAGAAACAGCATCCCCCCAAACTGTGATCTTTCAACTGTATGAATATTTTATAGTAAAGCTGAATTATTCTACTTTTCTAATAAGGTACCTTATATCTGAACATTTTGAAAGATTATAATGATCTTATAAATACCTATTCATTAAGAGATTGAAATAACAGATGGAATATTGTGCTTAAAATATATTGTGGTGAAAAATGCCAATTTTTTTATAGTGACTTCAGTGTAAACTCAGATTTTCTTCCCATAAGGCACGTTTGTTATGATTTATTATTTATGTATAGGAAAAGAGAAAGGAATCCTGTAGATGTATTTGACATGGCCAGACATCGAGTGCAAGCTCCTGTCAGAAGACAGTCACCCAAAGGCTTAGATGCTGCCACTTTTCAGAATATTCATGATTTCAATGTGCTGAAAGACAGAGGTGAGTATGTGTTGCTGCTCCAGAGATGCGGCAAGAGTGTTCGACCACATTCAAGGATCTTTGAAAATGTTTGTACAGTGGTACTTCAGTTCACAAATGCATTTGTTTGTGAATAATTTGTTTCACAAACAGATTTGTTTGGAAAAATTTTGTTTTTGTTCATAAATTCTGCCTTGGGTGACAAACATGACTGTGGCCATCTTTCCCACACAAACATGAATGTGGCCATCCTTTCCAGAATCGTGGACTGAATTAAGTTTGTGTACCGAGGTACCACTGTGTTATTTTTCTAAAATAAAATTTCATTTATAATGTTTTAAGTTATAATGAATAAAACTTAAGTACACTTTAGATTTTCATTTTATCAGTTTGGTAGATGAAACTTCAATTTGGCACAAACTTTTCCTTTGGGGAGTAGCTAGAAGCCTCGGTATGGATTAGGTCCTGTAGATTAGTATAAAGAAATAGACCTTGGTGTGTAATGGAAGACGGACAGCAGAAGATGAGCTTGGGAGAAAAACTGAGGAGGAAAAGCTACAGTGATTGGCAGAAAAGCAGGAGAATGTTGGATGCTGAAAGCTGCTAGAAAAGAGCGAGTGTATCAAGGAAAAGCGATTGTGTGAGAATATCACAATGTCTCAGAGGCATTGGTAAACTCTACTAGATCTTTTTCAGTGGAATGATAGAAGCGAGTTAACTTTGGAATGAGGGTTGACTAGGAGGCAGGCCTAAGTCTACCCCGGGAAACTATGTGTGGGAAGGGGAACAGAGGCTCTAGGAGGTGCAAGAACTTGGTAGGACGTAGTGTGAGAAGATGCTACAGGGGGAAGAGCCTTAGGAGACAGGAAATGGAAGGACTGATCATAGAAGAGAGCACAGCCCTCAGTAGGTGGGAGGGAATGTAGAGGATATGAGATAAAAGAGCTAACCAATTTTCATGTTGCTTCTTAGTAGGAGTGGAACAAAAAATTTAGTACTTAATCAGGGTTGTCAAAAATAGGAGTCCTGGGAGAGCAGAAATGTGAGAGGAACCTTTTTTGAAAAAGGAATATTTCATAGAGCAGGTGTTGGAGCAGAGAAGGCAAATTTTTGGGATATGTGGTCATCCCACAATGCCAGAAAATCTAGAATTTAAACGTTTTTTATTTTTGAAAGTAATTATGTCTAATTATAGCAAAATTTTAAATATAGAAAGAAATAGGGAGAAATAACTTTAGTCAAACTGCCTAAACAAACACCATTAACATTTTGGATGTTTTTTGGTCTTTTTGAACATAATTTAAACAAAAGTAAAACCAAACACTGGTATAATTGTTATTTTAAAATTTCTGCTCATTTTTTGCTTAAATTTACATATATCATCAATTATATATGTTGTTTTTATGCTGTTTTATTGATAACTCTCTGTTAGGCATTATATTAAGCCAGTGAGTCTCAGAGTCTGGTCTAGAGTTTTTTTTTAAACTAAACCATTATTATTTTTGACATTCTTTTCTCATGTATACACAGGTTTTCCAGAAGTCACATGACAAATGATGACATTCTCTCTCTGAAGTTAATAGAATCTGTACTTTTGTATTATAACTTAATTTCAAATATGGCAGATATATATGTGTGTATATGTATGTGTGCAATATACTGTTAAGCTTTTTCTACTTTTTGAATTTTTGAATTTTTTTTCCGTAGAGGTCTATTAATTTTTTAAGCGTGTACAGAGGACTTGAGGCCACAAAGGTTAAACACAGAACTGAGCCATTCATTCCTTTGTGTCACCACATCAGTTCCTTGTTCAGCCTATGACTTGGTTGTTGTTAATTTTTTTTTTTTTTGGTACTGGGGATTGAACTTGGGTCCTTGCGCTTGCGTAGCAGGCGGTGAAACCACTGAGCTAAATCCCCGGCCGTAATCTTTTTTTTTTTTACAATGAGACAGTCTGAAACTGGAAAAGGCAGGGCCTCATGTGAGTTTGTATCCAAAGCCTCATTTGTTCACTTTGCTTTTAACCATTTTTTAATTCTTAAATAGTCAAGATGTTTCCTATTTAACTTTTTGTGCTTTTTTGATGTGGTGCTAGGGACTGAACCCAGGATCTTGCATATGCTAGGAAGTGCACTACCAGTGAGGTACATTCCCAGCCCCTTTAAATTTTATTTTGAGACAGAGTCTTGCTAAATTGTCCGTGCTGGCCTTGTACTTGTGATCCTCCTGCCTCAGCCTTTCAGGTCGCTGGGATTTGCAGGTGTGCACTAACCATTTTCACTGTATTCTTCTGATAATGTCTGGATCATAAGGCTTTTTACATATTTAGTATCATTTCTTTAAATTACATCCCAACAGTGTAATTAATGGGACAAAGGAAATAATGTTTTCAAAACTTTTTGTACTTTTCAAGATTCAGAAATTAATATTTAGCATTTTAATTCTTATTAATTGATAATTCATACAGTTTTAGCAGAGGTGAGTTCTCAGACCATCATTTCTTCTAGTAAGGACATCCCTTATAATGTTCCAGTCAGTCTACATTTACTTGTTTTTTGCATGATGCTTATTTGCAAGGGATAAAATTGGCTAGTAACATTATTTTCATTTGTTCAGCATATTTTATTATTTTTTGTTCTGTTTTTGAGATAGGATCTTGCTTTATAGTTCAGGCTGGCCTTGAACTCACTAAGTAGCCCAGGCTAGCCTTAAACTCATTGATGATTCTCCTGCCTCAGCCTTTTGACCACTGGGATTACAGGAATGCTCCATCATGATTGGCAGTTTTTTCAATATATCTATTTTAGAGATCTGCTGCGATTGCATTATCTCATGGCTTCTTGAGTCATAGCTACGTGACTAACCACTTGCATATATATACCTGCATGTAATTTCCCTACTGGTGTTCTGGGTGGCATCGTGGGGAAGTAGGGTAGGTAGGTATGTAGAATGCCTCATTGGAAGTGACTGCTTATTCTGGGGGCTTCCTTATAATGTTATTAAGTTTTTTAAAAAGGCATTTATTAAAGAATATGAATTTCATGTTTTTTAGTTTATGGCTTCTTTAATGTCCTTTGATTTTATATCCCACTATTTATATTGTTACCTGTTGTAAAGTTCTTTACAGTGGCAAGGATTTGGAGGCCTTATATAATTATTGCAGTTTTAATGAAAAATTTTTTACACGTAGTTTGAATCATTAAATAATAACTCTGGGTTTTTATTTAGTTCATATCATAAAATGTGCCTCTTAGCTAATTCTCGGACCATAAGAATAAAACTAAAAAGATTTTCATGGTTACATGTGCTAAGTTCAACTTTACCTGCTTGAATTTTACAAAATAACATTTAACTATTTAAGTTTCTTACCTTCTGAAAGCCACCTTAATAAATACTTATGCAGGTTAATTTACAAAAAGAGGACTTCAGGTTAGAACCCAACTCACTGTGGCAGGAATTCTAGAATGTGTACACACACAAAAAATAAGTTTTAGGGCCAGGCATGGTGACGCATGCCTGTAATCCCTGCACTTGGGAATTCAAGGCCAGGCTGGGCTCCATAGTGAGTTCAAGGCCAGCCACAACTACATAGCGAGACCCTGTCTCAAAAAGAAAAAAAGCTTTATTTTTTTAAAGCAGTTTTAGGTGCATAGCAATACTGAACATAAAGTACAGAGTTCCCATATGCTCCCTGCTCCCATGCATGCACAGCCTCCTCCATGATGGACATCGTGTACCACAGTGGTGCATTTTATTATAATTGATGAACCTATGTTTGACATGTCATTTTAAAGTTTAAAGTAGAGTTCATTCTTTTTTTTTTTTTTTTCCTCTTGTACTGGGGATCAAAGTCGGAACCTTGCGCTTGCAAGGCAGGGATGGTGCCACTGAGCTAAATCCCCAGCCCTGGAGTTCATTCTTGATGTTGTATGTTCTATCAGTTTAGAAAATATATGAATATAATAACATACCCATCATGTTAATATACAGAACAGTTTCACAGTCCTAAACCCCCATACTCTGCCTACCCATCCTTTCCTTCTTCTTAATACCTAGGAATCATTTGTCTCTTTACTGTCTCTATAGTTTTGCCTTTTCCAGAATGTTGTAGAGGCGGAATTATATGTAGCCTTCTCAGATTGCCTTCTTTCACTTAGTAATATGCATTCAAGTTTTCTCCATGTATTTTCATAGCTTGATAGCTCATTTCATTTTAGTACTGAATAACAATCCATTGTTTAATAATATGCCGTTTTGATGTATTCAAATGGGTGAATTTACCCATTTACCTCTTGAAGTATATTGTGGTTGCTTCCACGTTTTGACAACTATGAATAAAGCTGCTATAAATATCTGTGTGCAGATTTTTGTGTCTAAAATCTCATTTGAAAACAAGATTAAACTTAGTATTTTGTCCCCAGATTCAGAAACACGAGTTGATTTGAAATTGATGTACCCAGATCTTCCAAGAGATCATCACACTTTAGAGATTCAGCAGCAAGCCCTGCTAAGAGAGCAGCAGAAGAGGCTGAACAGAATAAAAATGCAGGAAGGTGCTGAGGGTGAGGAACAATCATTATTGTTTCAAATAGTATCAGTGAGTAGTTCTTTCGTTGAGTTGCCTTGTCTCTTGTATTGACTTCAGTCCCGGGCAGGTCCCCTCCACTGGCAGCTCCATCTCACAAAGTCTTTTTTAATGTGTAGTCTCAAAAAAGAACAAGTCCCAGAGAGCACTCTGATTCACTCAGTGGGGGTCATATATCCAAGCTTGAGAGGCCCAGCCATTCACTATAGTCAGCAGGATTGAATGCTTTGATCGGGCCAGTTGACCTCTGCACCAGGAACTAGAAACCAAAAGAAGGAATGTTGAAAAGAACACATTAGTGCCCCATGGAGGCTTTTCTCTTCTGTGTGTAGGAGGTGTGTTAAAGTTTTGATGTTTCATAGATTCTGTAAACTGTCAGAATGGACTATATGTTTTGTATAATCATCCACTCAACAGATACAGATGCCCACTAGGGGCACAGATATGGTGATAGATGAAACAGGCCACTGCTCTCAAGGAATTTACATTCTTTTGGAGATGTTAGATTCTAAATAAGCGTAAGTGTGATGAATATCCCAAAGGAAAAATCTAGGGTTCTGTGGGAGTGGGCACCTGGAAGGAGAGCGGAGCTAGTTGTCTCAGAGAGCACTGGTGCACCCTATTGATACCCAGGTGTATTGTATGGCCCCCATAGCTGTATGTCATCTGCTTTGCTGGCCTTCCGGCCATCAAGAGTAGCCAAGGCAGATGAGTTAAAAAAAAATACAATAATCAGATAAGAATAGGAGGAATGGTCTTGCCAGTTACTTTTAGGAAAATTTACCTCTGCTATGGCAGGCTAGTGTGCCTTACAGAATCTGAGGCAGCTTTTGTTTACCTTATGAGACTGCATCATAGGAGTAAATGATGTGAAGCTTTGGGCCCAGATCACAGTCAAGATTTGATAAACACATTTATATGGGATATCTTCCCACCATCTGGTACATTTTTTGTAACAGTCTCATATATCACCCTGTGACAGCAGAATGACCACATGGTATAATAAGTGGTCAGCACCTCATCTAGAGAAAGAAGAGGTGTAAGCATGGTGTTTTTCTTTAGAAGTCTCAGATAATGATCCGATCTTGTGGGATCATGGCAACTTAGGTTGATTAGGCCAAAAGTAGTTTCCAGGTGAATACAGGTACATTTGGGCACTGAGGGTATCCATCCTCCATAGTGACCATCCCCAATTTCCAGCCAACATGATGATGATGTAATTCATAAGAATATGGTCTAAGTATAAATCATTATGAAGATGACTGTAAGATATTTTGAGAAGGAGCACAGGCTACCATTGCCAGCCTCTTTATTCCTAGAGGCAGTATAAAAAAGGATAAAATGTACCCTTTGAAGCAACACATAGGAAGGCTAGTCAGATTGGAGAGGCTTGAGAATACCTGATCCAAAACTTTGCTCTTGGGACAAGTACCTAGAATTTCACTTACTTTAATTGCCTGTTTAACTTCATTCAATACCTTTCTACATAGACGATAGGTCTGTGACAGAAGATGGTAAAGGACCATGCATTAATCAATTTTTCCTTTTTGGGCATCAGTTTTAAGTTTACAGTAGTTTTACTTATTATATTCATTAATGTGAATGGGAGAAGTTTATCCAACTAGGATGGATGCAGTTACATTAATTAATAAGCAGGTAATAAAAATATTCTGAAGTGTGATAGGTGAAGAGTAATTTCCAGTAGAGAGCTAGTTATAAAAGATATTCTGAAATATATCTTTATTTATTAAACATTTTCTAAACTTTTAACCTTGATTTCGTTCTCTATTGACTACAGTTGATTTAGATGCCATCCCAAGTGCTAAAGTACGAGAGCACAGAATGGTAAGCCACCAGTTCTAATTTTTCAAGTTAGGTTCTGGAGGAAAATATTTTTTTAAGGAATATGTATATATTTCACATTTTAAATTTTTCAGGAATATTGAATTAAGAAAGAATTTTAATTTTTTTCTCATCAGTGCAGTGGGTAAAGAATTGTTAGTATAACATGTAGAGAAAACAATGGCGAAGAGTAAGATTCTGGTGCTAGGTTGTTTGAGTTAGTCTATTAGCTGTGTGATTTCTGGCAGATTATTTAATCTCTCTGTGCCTGTTTCCTAATCTGTAAAATGAATATGATAGTACATACCCCCAAGGGTGGCTTAAGTATTAATATTTGCAAGGCATTTAGAGATAGATTTGACATATAATAAGTTCTCTATATATCTATTAAATAAAAAATATAGCATGAATATTGTTGTAAGGATATATACCAGTATATATATATATATATGCATGCTCTTAAAGAATATGGCCTGGCTTATACTGATTCCAGAGTTAAGTGTTTGCTGTCATCAGTATTAGCAGTGGTGATGTAAGAGCCTATAACGGAAGTAGTGGTAAGAGTTATAAAGAAAATAAGCAAGGTAAGAGGATAGACAGTGACTCTTATCACTCCTATCTTGAGGAGATGACATTTGTATAGGACTGAATAAAGGAAAGGGCTGGGAATGAATCCTTTCTTTTGGGGGAGGTACTAGAGATTGAATCCAGGGCCTTTCCACTATATCACCAGCTCTTTTTAAAATGTTTTATTTTGAGACAGGGTCTTACTAAATTACCCAGGTGTGGCTTGAACCTGTGATCCTCCCGCCTCAGCCTCCCAGAGTGTTGGCATTACAGGAATGTATCACCACACCCAGCTAGGGATGAACGATTTTCATTTAACACATATTTGTGGAATACAATGATATTGTACCTTGGTTGTCAAACTCAGTTTGTTTCAAATTCTTGTTTGAGCACTGAAAATTTGAGAACTGAGCATATTTTTCCCATTAGAAATAATGGAAAACCAAATAGTTGGTATTAAGGCCCCAGAATTATACTAATAAATTTGTTTTTCCAGGACTTTACCAAATTTGGCAGTGATTTCTTTAACTCTATTATGGTTCTTACAGTTTTCCCCTAAGCTTTACTGCTAATAGCACTAACTTTCTCTGGAGCCATGGTTATGATATTTTACGCAAAAAGCAAAAACAAAACAAAACAAAAAAACCACAGTGAGGAATGTTGTAACGCACTAACACAAGCGCTGTGTGTTGTCTGGGCGAGAGTGCTGCTTAGACTGAAGCGTCTCCTCTTAGTGTCCTCAGTGAGGTGGAATGTGTGACTCCCTCTCAGCTGGTACAAGAGGCTTTTTCAAGTTGGATTTTCAGTTTGACCGTTGAGCAAAGTTACGAACACTAAGCAGATTCTTTTTGAATTTTGCAGTTTGAGTAGTGGAAAGTTGGAGCTTGGAGCTGTTTGACAGCAGAGCTATCACTGTACTTCCTATGGACTGTAGGCACTTTTCCAAGTGCCCAGTGTACAGGAGTCAGCAAAAGCAAAAAATGCCTGCTCTTTGGGAGCTTACATTCTAGGAGAGAGACAATAAGTGATCTGGAGTGTGTTAAACCACTGGGAGAAGATGGAAGCAGGAAAAGGAGTTTAGAGAGTTTTGGGATTTGGGAGGACTTAGCAGTTTAAAATACAGGTGCTTGGCTCCTCTCTCCGAGGAGGTAATGTTGGAATGACACCAGGTTGTTGGCCATGGAAAATATTGGGGAAACAGAGAGCGGAAGAACATTCCAAGTAGAGGCCCTGATGGGAATAGGAATTGGCTGATGCGTGTGTGCAAGGAGCAAGGAGAAGGTTGCAGACAGGGGAGCCTCAACAGGGTGATGGGGAGCAAATGGGACAGAGCGACTGTCAGGCGGCCCTTAGGAGGTTTGCCTCTCGTGCTGCACAGATGATGAGAAGCTTCCAGAGTCTCGGAGTGGAGGAATGAAGTGATGCCATCTATGTTAGGGTTTTGCTCGATCACTGACTGCTGTGTCTTGAGAATAGATTGAGTGGGGTGGAGTATTGCAATAATCTAGGCAAAAATAAACTGGTTTAGACTGGGCAGAGGACAGTGGAAGTGGTTGAATTTAATAGGAGATCTGATAGGATTTTAACATATTGAAGTTGAACTCTGAGAGAAACTAGAGATGGACTTCTTGGTTTTTGGACAGGAGTTGCTATTTATAGAGGTATAGAAGCAAGAAAAATCTGCAAGTTGGTTGGAAATTTAGTTTTGACATGGTAAGTTTGAAATGTCTTTTAGAAAGTTGAGCTGACAAATGCACAGTTCAAGGAAAGAGATGGAAGTTGAAAATACAAATTTAATCTTCCTAGAATCCTTATGATATAGTAATATTTCCCCCATTTTCACATTATGAAAGGCTCAGCTACATTCTTACTTGCTCAGGTTTACCAGTTAGTGTTAGGCTCAGTTTGACCAGATGATAATGACAATGATAATGTTGCTAATAGCTAGTGTTTATTGCTCTCAGTTTCAAAGTATGCTTATTCCTAAATTGATATTTAAATTCTTATTATCTTGCCAGTAGTCACACAGCCAATAAGCAGTAGAACACAGATTTGAACCTAGGCTGGACTTCAGAGCTCCTAATTGTTCCTACCACATGGCCTGAGATGCCTCTACATCTATTTGGAAAGATTGCAGTTTGGTAGGTTTCTTGGTATGTGGCAGTCACATTTCTCAGTGAAAATATACTGATATTTAACATGGGATTTTGGTTAAAATCCTGGATTAATAGATTTTGCCAAAAAGAAGTGCAGTGTAATCCAAGTTTGTCATGGTTGTTTTAAAAAAGTTAGTAAGCCAGATACAGTGGCACATACCTATAGTCCAAGTTACTTGGGAGGCCAAGGCAGGAGGATTGCAAGTTCAAGGCCAGCCTATATCATTTAGAAAGACTCTTGTCTCAAAAAAAGGTGAGGTGTAGGGGAGCTGGAGAGGTTGTTCAGTGTGAAGGCTCTGGGTTCAATCCCCAATACTGAAAAAAATAAACAAAAAATAAATATTGGACTTACAGTCTTTCTAAAAATTGGATTATATAGAAAATTATACAGGATAAAATTGGGGATGATTGTCATGGAAAAATAAGGCACAGATGGATTTTGATCACTCTTCAGTTAGGTAAAGGACTATGATACAGAAGAGGGGCTCGGCATTATGTGTGAAGTGCTGAGAACTGCTGGTTCAGACCATTTGATTAAGCTACTGTGGTAATCATTATCTTGCTAGAAAATAGTCAATGGATGTTTAATGTACAAGAACATGTAAATTTAGTATGTGAAGAGTTTAAGAGAACTTTTTGATAATGAATGATATGCATGAGTGGAGTTCATTACTCTGAAAATTAACAGACATTGCTGGAGTGTTCTACTGAAGGCCTGAAATCTTCAAGAAAGTTAGGGGAGGTGGTGTCGGATGACTTGGTTTCCTTTTGACATATAGTGATTGTTCTTTACTGTAAAATTTCTATTTGTAACTGTATCTCTCGTCTGGGCACTCATTATGTCATAGTCTAATGCCCATATTATTTTCCCTCCTGTATGTCTCACCATATCCATGCTATGTTATCACGACAGTTGCTGTTACATGCAGCTGTTACTACCTGAGGACATGCCTCCCCACTACCCCTCCCCTGCCGCGGGACACAATCTGTCACCTCAAGAGCAAAAACTCCTAAGTTACTTTTGTATCTCCAGTTCCTGGCGTGGAAGAGATAATAAGTGCCCTACACAAATTTATTGAAAAGATGAGTGAAACTTTATTTGGATTCACTGCTTCATACTCATATTTTCATCAACAATAATGTGGTCCTTCAACCACAAGAGGGCGATAGGGAATGGAGTTAGGGAGTAAATGTTTTTTCAGACTCTCAGGCCTGGAAAGATCAAGTCTCACTGTTGTCTTCATTGTCGTGGTGGAGGTGGTATGTACGAAGACTTTCTAGTATTTGCTGGCACTGGAAAGTGGTGTGAGGGAGGAAACAGCCCGTCCCACCTCTATCCTCTTGCTTTTTTTTTGCGGGGGGGGGGGGGTACAGTGTGGAAACTTGTGTTGTCTCTTAGGATAAATTTGTTTTCCTAAACAGGACTAATACCAATAGCCATATATATATATATATATATATTTTTTTTTTTTCTTAATTTTTTTTAGCCCAGAGATGACACTAATGATTTCATGAAAAATTCATTGCTGGAATCTGATAGTGCTTTTATTGGTGAGTATAGTACTGTATTCTTTATTGTACAAAATGATAAAGAGCTAATACTGCTTTAATGAATAATCAAATATGGGACATAAAAGTTTTCAAAATCAGAATTATTAAAATGAACTTGGAAAGTCACAGGAACAGTTCATACAAAAACCTGTACATGAATTTTCATAACAGCTTTATTTCTAACAGCCAAAAACTGGAATCAGCCCAGAGATTCTTTTTCTTTTTTTTTGGTACTGGATATCGAACTCAGGACCTTGCACTTGCGAGGCATGCGCTGGAACCACTGAGCTAAATCCCCAGCCCAGCCCAGAGATTCTTCAGTAGATGAAGTTAAAACTCTGATATATCCATAGCATAGAATGCTGCTCAGCAATAAAAAGGAACTTCTTGCTGAAACACTCAGTAACTTGGAAGATTCTTTTGAGAAATATGCTGAGCAAAAAAGCCAACTACACACTGTATGATTCCACTTTATTTTTGAAAGGACAAACTTTAGAAATTGAGAATATAATAATGGTTGCCCAGGGCTGGGGACAGGGCTTGAGGGAATGCACAGGCAGTCCCCAGAGGGCAGCAGGAGAGAACCTTTTGCTTATGGGAACTGTTTAAACAACCTGATTGTGGGAATAGATACACAAATACCAACAGATGATAAAATGGTATAGAACTTAATACACACAGAAACACAAATGAGAAGTAAAACTAGGGAGAATTGAATAGGATCAGTGTATTGTATTAATATATCCTGGTTGTGAGGTGTATTGTAGTTTTTTGCTGAATCTTACTATCGGGAAACTGTGCCATGTATATAGGATTCTGTGTTATTTCTTATAATTGCATGTGAATCCAGTTATCTTAATATTTCACTTTATAAATCATGAATATTTAGTCTTTAGAAGATACATGGAGGTACCTTCTTAAGTACTATCATACTTAAAATCACGAACTCTGATCTTAAATATTACTGCTATCCTAGAACTAGCAGGAATAATCTCTTCTACATATTAGTTGTATTTCATGTCAATTACTTTAGATTTTCATGTGATAAAAATTTAAAAGTTAGTTTGTTTTATTAATGAGTTTTTCTTTCTAAGCAGGCTATACTGAGGACAATGAGTAAAGATAAATCAGCAGGAGACAGGGATGGGAATATAGCTCCTATGTGGAGGCAACAGGGAAGTGTGCCTTGTCTTTCCTAACAAGTTAGACAGTCTGAGCCATTCAAGATGGGGTCTGTTACACTAGACCTTATGCCAGCAGTCTGTTATCTTTTTGGCTAGTGGTCATTAAATATCCCATAGTCATGACCGTGTTACTACTGCTCTGGTAAACCTGATGGTTTCAGTGTTTTTTTTTGTTGTTGTTGTTGTGTTTTGAAGTAGGTTTAAAATATATATATATACACACACACACACACACACACACACACACACAAAATTTACTTTTTTAACCATTTAAAAGTGTACAACATTCACATTGTTGTGCACCACTTCCAACATCCATTTTTCTAACTATTCATCTTGAAAATGTTAACTCTATATTAAATGGTAATTCTCCATTCCTTTGTCCGTCCACTCCCTGGCAACCACTATTCTACTTCCCAACTCCATGAATTTTACTCTGTACCCTCATATAAGTGAAATCATACATTATTTCTCCTCTTGTGGCTGACTTATTTACTATAAAGTCCTTAGGGTTCATCCAAGACGTACCAAATGTCCCCCATCCCCTTTTAAAGGCTGAATAATACATGAATGTGGGTGTACAAGTATCTGTTGGAGTCATTGTTTTCAATTATCTTTGGTATACATAGTTCAAGAGTCAGAATTGCTGGATCAATGGTAGTTCTGATTTTAATTGAAGAATTGCCTTACTTGCCATCATTTTACATTCCCACCAGCAGTGCAGTGTTCTGCTATCTCCACATCTTCAAAAACACGGTTACTTTATATTTTTCATAGTAAGTATCCTTACTGGGGAGAGGTAGTATCCTGTTGTGGATCTGATTTCTATTTCTGTAATTACTAGTGTGTGCATAACTTTTAATGTGCTTACTGACAATTTGGAGAAATAGCTATTCCTTTGCCCAGTTTTTTGGGGGGGGTTTGTTGTTGTTATTATATATATATATTTTCTAGATACTAACCCTTGTCAGATATATTACTTGGAAATGTTTTCTTTATAGTGAGTTTCTGTTTCACTCTAGAGATTGTGCCCTTTGATGCATTTAAGTTTTTAATTTTAATGTAGTCTAGTTAATGTCTCATGTTACCTGTTCTTTTGGTTTTGTACAGAAGAAATCATTACCAAATCCAATGTCATGAAGCTTTCCTCTTATGCTTTTTTTCTAAGTTTTATAATTTTAGCTTTCATATTTATGTCCCTAACAACAGAGTAAAAATACATAAGGCAGAAACTCATGTTACTACAGGGAGATATAGATGAATCCACTGTTATGTTTGGAGACTTAAATATCACTCTATCAAAAATTAACAAAGCCAGCATGCAGAAAATCAGTGAAGGTGGCTGAATTCAATCAGTTGAATTCAGTACCGTCAATCAACTGGATTTAATGGATATCGATAGATTACTTCGATTAACAACAGCAGATCACATTCTTCTCAGGCACACATAGGACACTGACAAAAATTAAATCATGTTCTGGGCCACAAAAAAGGAGAGATATTATTTTGAGACCACAATGGAAAAAATAAAAACAGAAATCAATTACAGAAAGATAATGGAAAATTCCAGTATATTTACAGATTAAATACACTTCTAACTAATACATAGGTCAAAGCAAGAAAAAGGTCAAGATGAATTAAATATTTTTAACTAAATGACAGTGAAAATTCAAGTAAGATGCAGTAGAAGTAAGGCTTAGAGGGAAATTTATAGCACTGAATGCATATATTAGAAAAATAGAGCTGGGGATTTAGCTCAGTGGTGCCACCGCCTGCCCTGTAAGCACAAGGTCCTGAGTTCGATCCCTGGCACCCCCCCCCAATCTAAAATCAGTAATCTGAGCTTCCACATTAAGAAACCAGAAAAAGAGCAAATTAAATCTAAAGTAAGCAGGAGAAGAAATAAGAGCAGAAATCAGTGAAATTTAAAACAAGAAATCAGTAAAGAAAATCAGTGAAACCAAGAACCAAGAGCTCTTCCTCTGAGATGGTGAGTAAAACTGATAAGCTTTTAGCTAAGTTAAGGGATGGGGGAAAACAAGAAGATACAAGTTACTAATATAAAAAATGGGAAGAAAGGACATCAGTACAGATCCCATGGACATTACAAAAATAGTCAAGGAATACCACTGAACAATTCTGAACCTGCACATTTGATAGCATAGATGAAACCTGGCACCTCTTCCTGGTAACACTGCAGACAAGTAAGAGAGATGAACTTCAACTTGATAAAAGAACATCTAGAAAAAACTTTTTGGTAATACAGTTAACAATGAGAAATCAGAAGCTATCCTGCTAATATCAGGAACAAGGGACCACTCTTTAGCATTCTACTAGAACTCCTAGCTTGCGCAGTAAGGCAAGAAAATTAAAGGTCTGCTCAGTGGAACAGAAGAAATGTAATTGTCTTTGTTCCCTGATAGCACAATTATTTGTAGAAAATCTGTAGGAATCAACTAGAAAACTGTTAGGAAATTATACAACTACTTTGGAAGACAGTGAGGCAGCATCTTAAAAGTAAACATACAGTCCAGCAGTTGCATTGTTATTTACCCAGGGGAGTTTATGTTCATACAGACATTTGCACATGTATATTTATAGCAGCCATTATTCATGATTGCCAAAATGTGAAAGCAACCAAGATACCTTTCAGCAGGTAAATGGATAAATAGTGGTCCATCCAGACAATGGAATATTATTCAATGTTAAAAAGAAATGAGCTACCAAGCTACTATGAAGACATGGAAGAACTTTAACCTTGAATGCTTATAAGTGAAAGAAGTCATCCAGAAAAGGTTACATACAGTACTGTGTGTTTCCAACTATATGACATTCTAGAAAAGGCAACACCATAGAGAAAGTGCTTGCCAGGGTAGGGGAGAGAGATGGATAAGACCGGTAAAACACAGAGTACTTTTAGTGTAGGGAAACCATTCTGTATAATACTACAGTGGTAGATACATGTCATTGCACATTATAATAAAACCCACAGAATGTACAACACTGAACGTGAACCTTAATGTAAATTGTGTACTTTGAGTGATAATGATATCATTATAGGTTCACAGATAGTATAGATGTATCATTCTGCTGATGGATGTTGGTACTTGGAGAGGCTATGTCTGCAGAAGTATGTAGGAACACTGTACTTCCTACTCAGTTTTGCTTTGAACTTAAAACAGATGATACTAAAATGAATTATTACACAAAAAACTTAGAAATTTTATTTTGAAATTACAAAATTTCCACATCTCACATAGTGAAATGTAGTTATTGCTGTTTTTTTTTTTAAGCCAGACAGTATAAATTTGGAAAACCTGGAATCTATTACATTGTTTCCTGAATATAATAATTAGATTGTAGCTGTGTAAGAGTCAATTCTTTTTTGGTACCGGGGATTGAACTCAGGACCTTGGGCTCAAGGCAGGCGAGGTGCCACTAAGCTAAATCCCTGACCCCAAGAGTCAGTTCTTATTCTTAGAAGATACATGCTAAAGCACTTAGGAAGTGTCTGTGATGGCCCCACCTTACTGGTTTTGTAAAGTAGTAGCTCAACAAAAGAAAACAAGAAACAACATCATCCCTCTAAATATAAACAGAAATTGCCAAATAACAAATGGTGATTTGATATATTCACTTTTTTATAAATTTTCTCTACATTTAAAATTTGCAAACAAAAACATTGGGGAAAAATTCAGAATTATACAGGCTGTTCTTCATGGTCATAGGCTATTGGACCACTAGAATGGCTATTATCAAAATAACCCCCAACAATATGAAGTGTTGGTGAGGATGTGTAGAAACTGGAAACTTCTTTCAATGTAAAATGATTGTTTTGAAAATACTTTGGTAGTTACCGTATTATCCTGCAACTTTAATCTTAGGTATTATATCTCAAAGAAATGAAAACATACGTCCAGAGAGAGTTGTGCATGAATGTTTATACAAGTTTTATTTGTAAGTCCCAGCAACTAGCAAATGTCAACCAATTTGTAAATTTACAGATAAAATGTGATGTGCCTATACAGTGAAGTACTATTCAGCAGTAAAACAGAATGTACATTCTGACATGGTACAGCACTGGAAGAACCTCAAACCCATTATGCTAAGTGAAAGACACAAAAGATTATGTAGTAGAGTTCCATTTATATGAAATGTTAGATAAGGTAGCTCTATCAAGACACAGTAGATAGTGTTGGCCTGATGCTGGGAAATGATTGCCATTGGGCATGGGGAAACTTTGAAGTGATGGAAATGTTCTACATTGTGCTGATGATTGTACAACTTTGTAAATTCACTAAAAAATCATTGAACTCTATACTTAAAATGGGTGTATGTTATAGGATATAAGTAACATCTCGATTTACCTCTGGGTAAAATATTTGAAATGGTGTGAACAGACTTCACCCTTGTATGACTCATTTAGGTGCTTATGGGGAGACATATCCTGCCATAGATGATGATGCCCTCCCTCCACCATCACAGATGCCCTCTGCGAGAGAGCGCAGGAGAAACAAATTGAAAGGATTGGAATTTGTATGTATGAAGTATCATCTTTGCCCCCTTTTTTAGTTGAGAAGAGTAAGTGGTCTGGGTTCTGATCCATGCTAAATTTGTGTGGTCCCATAAAGAAAGAGCACTTGTTTTAAAAATGAAGTAGGCATAGTCTAGTTAGCTTAATGGCCTTGTAACTTTGAACTGTGTTGCACTGGCTTCTTTGTGGTAGTACAGTATCTTTTCTCGCAGGGTGGCTGAAAGTAGAAGTTCTTTAACTGGCACAGAAATTTGTACTACTGTTAATCATCATCCCAATCTTTGTCCTTCATCCTATAGAATGTATGGGCAACTGATAATTATTTATCAGAAAGCCTGTTCTATCCTAATAATAACCTATGATATAGGCGTGAGTTACATATGGATCAGGTAACCTGCCATGGTCACATAAACAAGGCTGAGATTCAAACCCATTTTCTCTTTACTCTGTTGCAGAGCTTTACAGTGTAGCCAGTAAAAAGTACAGGTATTGGTGCCTTCAGTACATACTTTTTTTTGGCACGGGGGATCGAACTCGGGTCCTTGCGCTTGCGCAGCAGGCGGTGAAACCACTGCGCTAAATCCCTGGCCCTTCACTACGTACTTGTTCCAACAATGTCACTTCCTCTTTGAGTAGGCAAGTTTGGGTAATATGTATCTTAAAATCTACATATATTTTCTTCTGTGTAACAAAGAAAATGTATGTGAAGCAGTTAGCACTGAGTCAAGTACACAGGAAGCTCCCAATAAATATCAGATGTTGCTTTTAATTAGCATTATTTTATGTGCAGCTTTACCAGGTAGTAGAAACTTTGTTGCCTTAGGCAACCACTAATCTACTTTGGTCTCTATAAAGATTTGAATTTTGGGACATTTTGTATATATGAGATCATGCATCGTATATGATCATTTGTGGCTGACTTCATTCTTTTTGATGGATTGTCCATGTTGTATAGCATGTGTCAGTACTTGATTCCTTTTTTTTGTTTTTTTTTGTACCAGGGATCGAACTCAGGTCCTTGCGCTTGCACAGCAGGCAGCAAAACCACGGAGCTAAATCCCTGGCCCTTGATTCCTTTTTATTGCTAAGTAACATTCCATTTTATATACAGTTCATCCAGCAATTGATGGATATTTGGGTTTTCACTTTTTGATGATTTTATTAATATTCCACTTGATCTTAGCCAAAAGGCCAAGAAGTGATTGCTATTACTGTTCATATACAGGTTTTTAAATTTTCATTTCTGAGTAAGCACCTAGGAGCTTGTTGGGTTATATGGTCACATTATGTTTAGAAGTTTGAGGAACTGCCAGACTGTTTTCTAAAGCAGCTGCACTATTACACATTATATTTTTCCTATCTTGTACAACCATTTTACACTTACAGCAGTGTATAAAGGTTCCAACTTCTCCACATCCTAGCCAGGACTTGTTATTTGCCTTTCTGATGATAGCCTTCTAAGTGAGTGTTGTGATATTAATATTTTGAATTGTATTTCCCTAATGATATTAAAACATTTTCTCCTGTGCTTCTTAGCCACTTATCTTTTTTAGAGATAAAGTCTATTCAAATCCTGTGCCCATTTTCCCCACTTTGCAATTGGGTGTTGTATTTTTATTGCTGAGTTTTAAAGTTTCTTTATACATTGCGGCTGTAAGTTCTGTTGATGAGATGTATGATTTGCAGGTATCTTCTCTCATCAAGTTGTCTTTCTTAATGGTGTCCTTTGAAGCACAGTATTAAATTTTGATGAGGTGCAACTTGTCAATCTTTTTTTAATCATTTGTGCTTTTGGTGTCTTATCTAAGAAATATTGCCTAATCCAGGGTCCTAAAGATTTACTTTTGGGTTTATACATTTTGCTCTTATATTTAGGTCTATAACTTTCAGTTAATTTTGCAAGCAGAGCAAGGTATAGGGGATCCAGGTTTATTCATTTGCATATGCACATGCAGTTATTTCAGTGCCATTTGTCAAGAAGACTGTTTTTTCCCTTATTGCATTTAGTTGGCTCTTCATCCAAAAAATGTAAGGATTTCTGGATCCTTCTTTCTCTTCCACGCAATCTTGATTACTGTGGCTGGACTCAATTTTAGCCCATGGTGTTTCAATTTTTCTCCTTTTGTGCCTGCCCTATAATTTCCAAACTTTATCCAGTTTGGCAGCATTTCAGTGTCACTGATAAATGCTATACTTTACCTTGACTGAAAGTCATCTGAGCCTGTGTGGATAAACATGGGAGTCAGAATACATAAACACAGGAGTCAGAATACAAATCCTTTGTATTTTCACTTGTTTTATTTTGTTAATCACAATGTATATTTGAGGGCAAGAACATTTTAATTTACTGATTCATTATGTTTCTTAAATTTTGTTTTTTAACTACAGGATATCAGTTGTCCTAATATACCACCAGATTGCCTCTCTTTAAAATCTGTCTCCAGTGTAAATGTTGATCAGCTTAGAATGAGAAATGAGGAACGAATGCGAAGACTGACTGAACTTCAGAATAAATTAGTTAATACAGGTAAATGGTAAAGGGTTAATGGCCTATAACAAATGCTGTAAGAACTCAAACCTGCTCACATTAATTTTTCACTGATGGCTAGAAGAAATGAGTGTGTTGAAGTCCTTTGAGTTGTATGGCCCAGGACATAGGACTAATTTCGTAATCAGATTATTTTTCCAGCAGAAAGGGTACCCAATTTAGAGTAGATTCTAAACAATAAAATATTTCAGCTTTTACATATGAAATATATCCATGTTTTGTTCTCAGCGGGGGAAAAATGTTCATTAGTATGGTATGGTAATTACTAAAGTGAGAGATCATCAGAAATTCTTTAAAGACTTTTGCATTTTTTAACACATCTATTATAAATCTATAGTATTACCAACAAAATTTGTACATTTATACTTGGCTTTGCTGGTTAATATTTAAGTCACAGTTTTCTTATTGAGGGCATCTGGTGACTTGCAGGTGAAGAAAGCTTGTCACGGAGCACGTACAGTTCTTTAGACAACTACTGAGCTCCTCTGCCAGCTCAATATCACCCTTTTTTATATTACATTGTTAGTCACTGGGGTAATGAGACAATTTTATATTACTGTGATTAGCTTAAGTAAATAATACAGTGGTCTATTTGAACATTACTCTTCACAGTCTATTATACTACATTGTAATGTTCTACTACCAATTTATTTAAGATATTTTTAGATTTACTTTTAAAACTACAATATTAATACTGGAAATTTAATTCTGAAATACTGTGGTAATTTAAAATACGCATACAAAGGCTGATAAAAAATAAGTGCTTTAAAAAAAATGTGTTTAAAAATTTATTGCAATAAAAGGTATGCTGCCATGAATTTCCCTCAAACCTAGTCCCCCTTACTTCAAACACACCCATTCTTCTTGCCACTTCCTGTAGCAGTTCTGGAAATCCTCTTTCATGAATGCCTTTATGAGGTATGATCAAAATATGGTGAATGCTTTTGATCACCAATGAAAATGCAGGCTCATGACAACATTATGGTGTGTCCTCATCTACCTTATTTACTAGATCTGGCACCTAGAAACTTTGGGCTTTCTCCAAAAGATAAAATGACCATAAAAGGTAAACATTTTTAATTGATGCAGGACACTGAGATAGTGGTGAGAGCATAGTTAAAGTCTCATGAAAGAGGACTTCCAGAAGTGCTTCAGAAAGTGGCAAGAACAATGGCATGTCTTTTACCACAATAAATTTTTAAAATTTAATAAGCACTCATCAATTGGTTTGATCACACCTCATATATTCTCTAGCAGTCCAGGTGCGATGTGTTAAAATTCCACACTGAACACTAGCAGAAAGGGTAAACTGAGGGAATATTTTTTATACCCTCATCTAAAAGGTATTTTCTTTTCATATTCTTTTAGAACCATTAAATGAATACTTAGCATGTACATGTGAGAAGATACAGTATAGAGCTTTTTAAGATTCTACTTTCAGAAAGTTTTTAAAGTCTAAACTGTATTTTGTTTAACACTGTCCTTTCAAACAGGAGCTTTTTGGTACGAGGTGGAGTGACTTCTCATTAAATTGACTGCACATATCCCTGTGCTGGGCTAATCTTTCACAGACCAGGAGATGTAATTTCTTTAAAAAAAAGAAATTGACATCACAGGGTAGGATGATAGATTTTCCTATTATATCTAATAAGTAAAAAAGTACAGATATGAAAATTGAATACAATCAAATTCAAGTAAGGAATGCGAAACGAGCTACCTGTAGTACTTAGAGTAGTTATAAGAATTAATTTCATCCCAACCAGTGCTTTCCCCAAGTGACATTTAATCCATACAGCAGTATTAGAGGTTGGTAGTCTTCCTCAAACCTGACTAAATTTTGTTTCATAGCCATTGAGCCTTTCATAAAGGTAAGTTAAAAAGTACGACTGCCTGTGCATCTGTAGTCAGTGTCCCATAGTTTTCTTTGATATACCTGAATTCCCCTGGGCGCTGGTGCCATGGAGTTGATCACCCCTTCTTCCCTCAATCTGGCCCCTTCCTGGACCAGCTTTCCTGCCTCTAAAGGAATGGTTGGTGCGATCTGAACAAAACAAACAATTCAGAACATAATACTGTGGAGTGATGCCGAGCTGTAGTGATGTGGGCTACAGGTAAACTGTGTGCCACCTGTTACCGGAGTCATGTGTCTCTTGTCTCCTGTAGATGATGAAAGTTCACTGGTTGACCCCGATGACATCATGAAACATGTGGGTGATGATGGATCAAACTCTGTAGCAACTGAGCCATGGCTCCGCCCTGGCACCTCGGAAACACTGAAACGCTTCATGGCTGAACAGCTCAACCAGGAGCAGCAGCAGGCTCCTAGAAAGCCAGGCACTTTCACTTGGCAGGGCCTGTCTACTGCACATGGTTAAAATAAATCTGTAATGGACCCAGTAGTGCCTTTTAAGGTGAAAGGAATGTTAAATCTGTGCCATTAATATGTCTTACTTTGGGCCCCTACCTGAAATTATGGTCCATCTATGTATAAAAAGTGTATTTTTCCATGATGATATATATTATATACATACATAAGAGGCCATGATTATTGATTTATATAATTGCATAGAATTATTTTTGCACAATTTTGCCATAAATTAGGGTGGTAATAGTTACCTTGGATTCAACTACCATATGTGCATTAATTTACATTCTGCTTGTCATTAAGATGAATAAAACGTGTCTTAACAATGCTATAAAACCAGAATTATTTTTGTTACTTGCACATTTGCCATTGTTATTTCTGTTCAAAAGAATTCATTTAGTAAATACACCTATTGTAGCTGTGACTATTCTAATTGTTATATAATGAGGGATTCAAATGGGTTATTTTCATGTCATTCCTAGGTACTGATTTAGTAGAAATCAAAGGGGCTATTATTTTATTCCCATGAGCCATACACTAAATGTTTTATCTTTCTGCCTCCATTTCACTTTTATGTTGATGAAAGACAGTATGTCAGCTTATTTATATGATTTAACTACTTCCTGATAGAAATAAATTTTTATTTTTATTACTAATGTCAATTTCTTTTTCCTGGAATTAAAGTTTGTAGAGGTTGAAGAGAAGTAGGAACACCTATGGGTTAAATGACAGACTGGAATACTTTGCTCCATCATTATGGACCCTTTGATAAGTGTGTCAGTTCTTCTGATCACTCAAGCAATATTTCTAAATAAGGAAAGACTAATTCAAATTCTGGGAAATAATTATTGGGTTAGTCTCTTCAGCACACACATGACAGCTGAGAACACCTAGGCACTGTTTCTCTGACATCTTCACAAGTGTAATTAACAGCAGATAAGATCAGAAGAATTTCCCACAGGTAAATTTTATACTCAATTTTCTAAACCATTAATTGCTTTAGTATTAAAGACTTCTGTCACTGCCTGAAGAAGAAAGCCTGTGTTTCCCCTAGAGAACCCTGCTATTTATAGTATTAAATAATAAACTGCCAGGGTGTAGGAATCAGACTGGAAGATCAGATCACTGTAGCTTCCAGCCAGTAAGGCAGATAACTCTTAGCACTAGCATCCACCTGGGCTTCTACAGAGTTGCCTGTCACACAGGTCATTAATATGATGCACAGATAATGCTTTGTTCAATAACTTACCTAAGAGAGATGTGAAAGCAAAGACTGTTTCCTGCTTTTTTAACACAACATTCTTAAATTATACCTGACATGTTCCATTTTTTAAGTTATGATACCACATACCTTGAAATGACTCCTACGATACATACACAGTATCACAATGCAGACTGCTTCAAAGGGAGTTTCAGCATTTTCTCTCAGCTTTCAAATAACATATGGCCTTATTCTAGGTCACTAAAAAAATGCACACAAGTAATTATGACTATCTTACGGTTAAGATAAGGCACAAGGCAACTAATGCCAGAAACTGGAAAAAAGTATCAGAATTTTGCTTTACAGTTCTGGCTGTAAATGCCCTTGCTATAATGTGGCTTTTAATTGGAAAAAAACCAAAAAAATCGATGAAACAGGGCTGTGGGTCACACAAGTTTTGATTGCATTAATGAAATAATTCAAAAACTTTATTGATCTATAACCTGATTAGAATATGCCAGATGAGAATCAATATTTGTACAGAAAGTTGTACAGAATTTTTTACATAGAAAACTTTACATCTGTACCATATACATTTTATCCATCTGAAAAAATTTTCTACATCCACTGTTAATACGGAATGCTTGACAATCTTGTCATTTTAACCATCAGAGCACAATTCACAGTATGAATACATTTCCAGTAAATCTAACCTCCCCAAGCCATGCCAGATGTTATTTTAATATATTCAACATTAAATTCTGTACATAGAATAAAATCTACATCAAGCCCCGCCACCCAAAAGAAAAGAAGTGACAGCAACCTAGATTCATTTGCAGTGATTCAAGTTTCGGTCCATGAAGGATCATTCTATTTTAATGGCTCATCTTTAAAAGCCCTAAGTATATTACAGGTAGTTATTGTCAGTAGGGGTATTTTCTTTTTTTCTGGCCCCTGTTGTTGATCTTGACAAGTGTCAGCCACAACAGCCTCTGGGCATGTTAAACCCTCAAAATTACCACCCCTAAAAAGAGCAAAACTAAAAATCCCCACAAAATAAAGACAACCCAAATGTTTAGTGCACTTGACAAAATATTATGGGTGTTTAGCAAGTGGGTAAGAAAATAAAATAAAATAAAACAGTGCAGGAAAAACTATAATGTTTAAGATTTTTATATTACAGACCTGCATCTCTGTACATTTTTCACAGAAAGATGATTACCAGTATCTCAGATAAGCCTGAGTGTGCAAAAATTTTCAGAATACCATAGTTGCTAAATATCTTTTACCGTGAACAATAATTTCTTCTCCCACCCCCATCCCCCCAATTATAAACATTTTATCCTTCAAAATACAGCTCTCCTGAGTTGTACTTCTTACAGAAGTTCAATTTTTACATGTATAGTTCTTTGGGTAAGTTTCACTCCCACACCTGCCAAAAATAGGTGGGCACTCCCTGCCCCCAGAGAAAGAAGACCCATAACCATAAGCTGACACTGTTTACACAGGCTTTCTGCTCAACATGAGCCCAACTAGATACAAAGAATTCACCAGATTACTAAAAAGGACTGGAGTGTTCCAACCTTGAGTTATGGGTGTAAGCATCTTTACTAGTAACATTCAGATACTGCCTTTCAGAGAAACAGATTTTCAGGTAGGAAACCTCAGCTCCTTTAGATCTCAGGTTCCTTTAAAGAGCCAAAAGATGTAAACTCCAACAGAATAATGTTAATTCCCATCATTGCTTGTTTATTCCAAGTTCCTGGTCAGGTGGTTGTGATATCTGAAAAACTACTCCGATTCGCAGAAAAAATCTTCTGAGGACAGCACGAAGTTCAGGAATCAAGTCAAATTGCATAATTTCACATAAGAGAGGGTAGTAGAATGATGCATGCGCTTTAAACTGGGAGGAAAATGAATTTCTCCATTAGTAGTGCTTGCATTGCAAACCAAATAGCCCAAAACTGCCTTAGGAGTTGACACTTCAGGGCACACACAGATCACAGAAGACAGAGGAAGGCTGAATCTGAGTCAAGCAGTGACTACATGGATCACAGAAGCGAAAGACTGAGAAGAATTTTAAAAACTCAGTGTGAACCCAGTTCATGTATCATTGTTTAAAAAAAAATTTTCCATTACATATCTTCAAAAACTTCTAGTAATTTAGCATTGTTTTTCCTAGGTGATAAGCAAAAGTAAGAACCTGAGCAGGAATTCAATGGAATTGTACATTTTGCTTAATACATTAAATTTTAGGGGATATTATTCTACCTAATACTGCAATATGAAATACAGAAACACCCTCCAGGCAAAACTATACATTCCATTTTTAAAGTTCAGTTTATGTACTTGGACTGTATCTTTGCCATAGTTCCATCATCTCTAAATACTAGAGTGCTATGTTTTCTCTCCTGCTCTTCTACACCCCACTGGATAAGGAAAGCAAGTATGATAAAAGCTGTGGCAAGAAAGCAAGCAGTAAGGTAAAATACCCTAAGGTGTGGAGTTTTTTAAGCTTTACTCTGGACCATCAGTTAGTTGGAAACATGTCTAGACACAGGGCATGTGACTTGGCATGAACACGCGACAGAAACAAATGGCCCCTGCTTCCACAGGGTCCCACGTGTCACTAGGGCCTAAAGTTTCAAGTATCAGGCCACCAGAATAGGCAATTTTAAACTTCTTTGGGGGTTACAGCAAGGTCCATTTCTTTGTGTGTAAGGTGAAGTTGCTATAATTTTTGAGTGAAATGTGGCAAGAATTTATATGTACAGTCATGTAGTTACATTTTTACCTTTATTTTTGCTGGTTTAAATAAGCAAGTTCATAGCCTTTTCACTAGAAGTTCTGGTCACATGGAGTCACTGTGCCAAAAGATGGCCACAGCTTAAGAAAATAGGCCCAGCAATCAGATATGGCCTTGGACGGGGGGCACAGTGCAAAGCCATGGGATGGGCTACAAGAGCTGTTTCCAAAAAGGAGAATTTCAATGTCTCCAGGGACAGAATGGGCATTTAGAAGTTGGAAGAACCCAAAAGCCCATCAGAGTTTCCTAAGGGTTTCTGATTCCTCTCCCACGGAATCCTCTCAAAGAATCACTGACTAGAGGAAGCAATCTGAGGACACATGTGGGCCTGCAACAGTAGCAGCGCAAGCTAGGCTCAGAGCCAGTGGGCATCCCTGCCTTGACCTCACAGTCCCTACAATGGGTGGGCTAGAAGTTCAAGGCTGGCTAGGAAGCCTCATACTTACCCTATTATCACTGATCTTTAGAACTTTAGTGAGAAATAACAGCAATAAGTTAGTCCAGGCTTCCCGATGACTCTCTGATGTTAGAGTAAGGAAGTAACTTAGTGCTTCACTGCAGACACTGCAAAAGAAATGGTGTACTTTTATGTTATTTGCAAACCTGGTCCATGTACTCACTGAGAAAGAAAACTCAAAGATGGTAGGGAATATTAACTATTAATGACCTTGTGAGACCTTTATCTGTTTGTATTAACTGGAATGTCAACATTAACATTTACATGTTTTTCAAATTAGAAAACCAAAACAATCCACTGCAGCATCTCAGGAAACCCACATTTTCTTTATTTTCTGTTTCAGTGAATGTAACGCCCAGTGTGACCGTACAAGCACAAGCCTGGTGTCGAGAAACCTGGGCTAAATGTCGGGTGGGTCTCCCCTTCACTGATTATGAGGCCTCAGGCCCTTCTGGATATGAACAGCCTTTGTCAATAAAATGGAAGAACGGAGACTAGGTGATTTCTTAAAATTCTAAAATGTATTTAACTGGTTTCTAAAATATTTTTTTAAAGGCAGTTTACAGTATTCTTTCTACATAACATGTTTCATTCTTAGTATGAGTTTAAATTTTAGTTGTCATGAAGTAAAACAGCATGAAAGAAAATACCAGTAGAACCACCAAATTTTTTTAAACTAAATGCAAGAAGGCAGGTGGGTGGATGCTGACTTTTACAAGTGACTCTTCTTTAAAAAATGGCTATCTTACAGCATTAGAAAGACAAAAAAAACGATCATTGTTTGCAGTTTCTAAATTTAAGAGAAAACTGCTGGACATGATAGTGCATGCCCATAATTCCTTCTGGAAGGCGGAGATGGGAGGATCACAAATTCAATCCCAGCCTGAGCAACTTAGTGAGACCCTGTTTCAGAAAATGTCTAGTGACCCCTGCAAGCACAGAGGAGGTGAGCTGCGCCAGCCACCCCCCGCCCCGCCCCCCGTTGAAATGAGAAGACACGTAAACAAGTCTCAAAACCAGACTTCCAGATCACCTAAAGCAACCCCAAAGGGAAATGAGATGGAACACTCTGATACTCAACCACCTGGACCCACTGAACTGGCAACAAAAGGGGATCTGGAAAAAATGAAATCAGAAATAATTTCTCAGATAACAGCAGAGATTGTGCTCATAGTGCAAGACATGATTAACAAATCTAGAGAGGAGCTGAGGAACATGATGGAATCCCAACACAGGAAACAAATGGAATCCATAAAACAGATGCAAACAGATTTCCAGATTAAAAACTCCATTAAAAGTCTACACAGCAGAATGAGAAAATGTGAGGACAGAATTTCAGATACAGAAGATAAGACTGCAATTAGTGACCAGGAAAAAAAATTGCTTCAAAATTGTAAGAGACCACGAGAAATCAATCCAGCAGCTGCTAGACGATGCAAAGAAGAATAACATAAGACTGATTGGAGTCAATGAAGAAACAGGAGAGAGTGGAGATGACATAAAAAAACTCTTCACAGAAATGATGGCAGAAAACTTCCCAAGCAGGGGAAAAGAACTTGACATACAGATACGTGAGGCATATAGGACTCCAAATAGCCTTGATCAAAAAAAATCTACACATAGGCATATAATAGTTAAGCTTCCAGAAACCCAACAGAAGAACAAAGTTCTACAAGCAGTTAGAGAAAAGAAACAAATCCCATACAAAGGAAAGCCCATCAGAATCACAGCAGACTTCTCAATGCAAACCATCAAGGCAAGAAGAGCTTGGAGGTATTTCAAGCCCTAAAAAAAAACAGCCTCCAACCCAGACTGATGTACCCTGCAAAATTATCTTTCAAAATTGATGGGAGAAATAAGATACTTTCATGACAAAGAGCCCCTTAGGAACTTCTGAATACCAAACCAGCACTCCAAAAATTTTAGACAATATCCTAGGAAAAGACGAGGATCACAACCCCAGGAGGCCCAGCAGTAAGAATCTGTCAGGTGCAACAAGAAATTAAATGCAAAAGGGGGACTACTCCAACAAACAGAAAAAGTCATGACAATGATGTCAGTATGTATGAGTTATAACCATCAATGTTAACTGTCTCAATTCACCAATCAAAAGAAATAGACTGGCAGAATGGGTCAAGAAGCAAGATCCAACAATATGCTGCATACAAGAAACAATTCAAAAAGAAACTCATAATCTGAAAGTTAAAGGTTGAAAACAATACTCCATGTGACAGGAACCCGAAAAAAAAAGCAGGAGTAGCTATCCTCTTTGCAGATCAAGTGGATTTCAAAGAAAAATCAGAAAATGTCTAGTGATGTAGTTCAATGTGAAAGTCCCAAGTTCAATTTCCAGTACCAAAAAGCAAAAAAAAGAAAAAAAACTTTTTCCTTCACCCTGTATGTTAGACCCAATCTGCTCATGTTATTAATTGTACAAAGCACATTAACTTTATCCAGGCCTGGTGGTTCCTTTGAAGTTCCACCTACTTCAGAGGCTGAGGTGGAGGATCACAGGATCACTTGAGCCCGGGAATTTGAGGCCAGTCTGGGCAACATAGCATGATGACACTGTCTCAAAATACTGTGGTGAAATATGGGCTTCTAGATCCCAAAGGCTCAGCTACCTGCCATTATCCCTTTTCTGCACTGTACTGTGCAGCTGCATGGATCAAAGGCAGCAATCAGTTGAGAGTCTTACTTCAGAAGCCTCTGCTGGACCTCATCCCATGCACCAACCCGACTTTCATCCATGTACATCCGGAAGAGAATGCGCAGTCCACAGGCCAGGCTGCTTGTCTCCTGCTTCAGGAGGTTGGGCTTGGACTTGCCCTTGAATCCTGCAGGAAGGGCAAGTTTCCAGGATTAGACTGATAAGGCATTTTAGATGAAGGTAAAAGCCTGTTGGGAGGCACATTTTGTATGTGTTCAGACACTGGCACTGGCTGGCTACAAATCTAAGCTGTCCCGCACCACATGTATCTGATATATTTTAACTTGAGGCCTGGGAAAGTGGAACCTGTCAGGTGAACTACACTGAAGGCCTACAGACAATGCTGCTCTGCTTATGCCGGGGCTCTCAGATGAATGAGGGTGGGGGATACTTGAAAACTGCCAGAAGTGAGAAGGGTGCCGTGCCTGTGGAAACAAGGAGCCCAATCACCTTTGCACGAACAGTTTTAGTCAATCGGTACCAAAAGTAAGTACAGTCTGTTCCAAAAGTTAGGTTGTAAAAGGGAAAGGAAAAGCCATTTTAGATTAAATAAAATAAGCATAAAACAATGAGCATTCTAATACAGAATGTGATGTTACAGAAACTTCAGCTCCTTTTTATTATTTTCTGACACATTCTGCTGCCCTTCATTTTCCCAGCCCAATTTTGCACCTGCCACCAAATAACTGTTTCTTCAATAAACAATGTTTCTGTAATTTCAATAAAGCTTATTTTTAAATTTGCCAACTAGTTTTAAAACAAACTTTGACACCCCTGTACATTCACTTCTATCCTAATAGTGTCAGGTATTCAAAAGTCATTCAAATATGCATGTCCGATTTCCTGTGCAGGAAGCTTCAAATACTTTCTTTTACTATGCTGATAAACATGAACAGGCTGAGTAAACAAGAGGAAAGAACTGGTCACACAGGTCAACAGGTGAACTAAACAAGGGCTAACAAAATCCAGTTACCCCAGGTAGTTATTTGCCTTATTGTTGGCCAAAAGAAGCTGGCTGTTAGATTACATTATTATTATTATTAACAGACCCAAAGTGCACAATCAATGCATTCTGATAAATGTATGTATCTGTAGCATATCCATTCATAGCAAACAGTACGAGGTGGCCAGAGCAGCTTACCTGCTTTCCACAGAGCAGTCCTCTGTTCATTGTTGGAATTAAATGCTTTTGCAAATCTATGTGATTCTAATAAACAGTCCAGTAGTTTAAAAAGTTGTTGTGATGTTAGAAAGCGGTACATTCCTTGGTCTTGAGTATCAACTCTAACATCAAAATCCACTGCATCTCTCTTTGGAAAACAAACCACCACAGAACACACAAAGTCACAACTTTGGTAACTTTATAAACCAATGCTCCCTCAAAGACCAGTTTTACAAGCAAGCCACAGACACTCAATCTGCTGTAGCTTAACAAAGTAGGGAAGGTCCGCTCTGTTATGTATTCTGGTCATCAAGTGCCGCTCCTGCAGCCCCAGCCCCCTTCCTGAAGCCCTGACTAAAAGCTTTGTGCCCTTCCAGGCCCTGAGTCAGTGGCCACCCATACCCACTCTGTGTTCCAGGCCCTTTTTGGTCTTCTTTTCTCTTTTCAATTGGTTTGGAGTCCCTGGACCATTCAAGTATTTTCTTGCATGATCCTTCACCTCCTCTTTTTAGTAATTGGTTAGCAGAACTCTGGCTACTCCATGACTATAGAAAATCAACAAGATGGAAGCAAGCAGAAGGGCTTCTCTTTAAACTCAATGGGCTTGGGCTCTCAGCACTCCTCCATGTTTCCTTGTCCGTTTCCTGATGGCTAGCTCATACATTAAATTCTCAACCTAAAAGATTCTTCTCAACCTCACATGATGGATGACTTTCCTTCCCACCTCCATCAGAAGCCGGAAGAGATTTTCTACAAACCCCTACCCACAAATGTACTGAATTTTCTCCATCTGGATCCTATACCCTTTGCCTTCCTCCTCCACAAGTGGGCTGTTTGGGTGGTGACCCCGACAATCTCCATTCTGCATGAGGTAACAGCCCTAGTGACTTAGAAATATTGTTCTAGCAAGTACCCTGGCCTCCCTCCTCACACTTTTTTCTCTACTGGAAAACAGGTTCACTGTTGAACCTGTTGTCATACTGCCAATTTGGAAAACAAAATAAAGTAAACTCCTTTTGTGACCCCTCATTCTCCTCTAGTTATCATCCCCATTTTTCTACATCTCTTTACAGCAAACTATGTCAGAATTAACACAATTGAGTATCTCCAACTCCTCCCCTATACCCATTACAACTATACTTTTGTCTTTAGTATTAAAATTAAACTTACTGTCTTCCAAATTGCTATAGGGCAATTCTCACGTTAAATATGCAATATGGGGCTGGGGGATTAGCTCAGTGGTTCTGCCCACCTGCCTCGAAAGCACAAGGTCCTGAGTTTGATCCCCGGTACCAAAAACAAACAAACAAACAAAAAAGATGCAATGTGCTTGAACTATCCAGTGCATATGATCTCATCCTTAGGACATTTTCTTTATTTGACTTCTAGGGGAACATTTTGCTCCTTCCCATGGACTACTGATTCTCATTCTGTCTCCACCAGCCACCTTGTCACCAGGAGCTATATAGCAGGTGGCCACCAGGGCTCAGTCCCTTACAGTCCTCTCTTCTGTAGCAGTACTTACTACCTCAAAGAGTAATCTAGTCTCACAGTTCAAAGTAATATCTAAGTGATGAAGCTTTCCACATGAAATCTCCAGCCTGACTTCTGCTCTGAAGCCCATGCTATTATAGCTAACTTTGTATTCATATAGAAAAGAAGCCCTCCCATCTCCCTACCTGGGCTGCAGCTAAGTTTTCCGCATCTTCCTTCTTACTTGTGGCTGGGAAGAACACAATGTTGTCGATGGTCTGGATGAGTTCCAGCTGCACAACACATTTAATCAACAGGGCAGCAAACAATTTTTGTTCTGGAAATTCTGTGAGGAAACCCCCCCCAATGCACATGCAAACAAAACATTATTTTGAATCCTTTATAATTTCTACGGCATTACAATACTAAGATCAAATTATACGTATGAAGATAACCTGTACATAGCACACTGAGAAGGACATAATGCTTTTGTACATAGGAACTACTTGCTAAAAGTTTATTCAATATTTAGAAAAGCATTTAAATACCCTTCGTGATTTATACAGTGAATATGTTCAAGAGTTGGTTCTACTACCAATTTTTAAATAAGATTCAGATTATTCTTGAAGTAAATGTAATGAACAAAAAACTAAAATTTAAATAGCATTTGCTGAAAACCCAAGTTTGACCTTTGAAAATAGTTTAAAAACCTATACCAGTGATGGCGAACCTTTTAGAGCTTTCAATGATACAAATAGCCTGCTGTGGCACACATGCCATAGATTCGCCACCACTAACCTATACCATAAGAAAACAACAGGAAGCAGATCTACATGAGGCAAGAAGTGAGACAGTTGGATTTTATCAAACTGTGTAATACTGTGGTTTACCCATAGGTCAGTTTTAATTTGGGCCTAGATTATTAGGTTTGACTAAAATTACCTCTTATTTTCAAATGGATTGAACACCAAAGATGTTATAAAAAGTTATGCTAAACACATTACTACAAAAATAACAAAAGTAACAAAAGTGTTCCCTATTCTGCCTTCCTCTACTAAGTTGTAACAGCTACATTCCTCTATCCTGAATAAACATGCTGGACAGGGCAGTCCTGACACCCACCAGCCAGTAAGGACAACTTCAAAGAAGAATGTTCCATTTGACTGATCATGCCAATTAAGCAGATCAAAGAGCTGCTGTGAGTGGTTGGCAGCACAGACATGTGGCTTTGGTAGGGGGTGAGAAGGCCCAGATGTCAAGGCTGCACCTAGATCATGAGTTCTCATGGGCAGGTTTCTAGAGTAAGGTGGCTGCCCAGGAATAGCTGCCTGTTAAAAGTCTTGGGACAATGGCTCCAGCACTGCATGACCTACATTTGCCCCATTTCTTTCTACTAGAAAAGGCATTTCATTACAATGCCTTTTCTTGAACAATTTATGGAAGTTAAATTTATTCTGAGGCTGTTTTAAAGTCTCCTTTCTAGATAATTTTCAGAAATGTGCTTCTATATAACATTTGATTCTTACTGCACAATCTCAAATACAAATCAAAATAAAACAAAAAGACCCACAAGTCCCATAGCTGTCTCTTCTTCAAATGTCTTCTGTATCATTCTTTACTAGTCACAGCTTACATGGTGGATTCACTCACTCCTTTCAAGTCACAAAAATACCTCCATCTCTGGGGCAGAGACTCCTAGTAGCATCTAGACTCCAGAAGGAACTTAGTGGTAGAAAGATGTCTAAAGAGATATCATTTCATTAGTTCCAATGTGAGTGACTCACATTAAGAGAACTTATCAAGATAACTTTCATCAGCATCCAAACATTCCGAGTGACTTGGTAGATAAAGAAGCCCTGTGACTAAATTAGGAAGTTGTACCTCTCACACTTTCTGGTGCCCTTTAAGAACTGCTGATGATCCTAACTACAATCTCACTGGCAAAGACCAGCTGTTTGGGGGACAAAATATTTATTCATGACAAAGCTTCTTAATGCCAAGGTTTTATTAGGCAACTAATAAACTAAGTAGATTTCAACTACATGGGACTGTACATACTGAATTAAGACTAGATGGAGCACTGGAGCGAGGCAGCTGGCCTTCAGACAAGCGAAGTACTCAGGCCTATGGTGTCATTCTCCTAACTCAGTAAGACAGAGTCAGATGGCTGCTAGCCTCTTCAACAGACAGGGTAACCAAATCCTGTTCACCAAGCACAAGGGCTGGTGGAACACAGTGGCTGTTTATTCTTCCTCCAGCACTGTCTACTCTGAGTCAACCTTACCTAAAACATTTTGAGGGAAGCAGGAGTAGGATGTCTGGCGTAAGGAAAGCAATCTAAGTCCTTGTCTCAGGGTGGCAGGGGAATAGCACTCTTGCTCTAGGAAAAGATGCATTTCCTGGCAAGCCAGGTGAAAACTTTCTCATGTATGATGATCAAATCATGCAAAGCTAAGTATATTTAGTTCAATCTTGGGGCTAAAGGACAGAAAAGCAACATTTTTGTCCTCACAGCATTTTCCAGTATAGACTGAAACTGCAAAGGATTTTTCTATAAGCCATTCTGTTCTCTAGAGAACAAGAATGAAAAAGGGGAAATGGACCTCTCACCACACCTATCTCCCCTTTAAAGAGCTAGCAAGGTACAGCAACTGAAGCTAGAAGCAGTTTCCAAGTGGGACACCAAAGACTGTCTTCTCTCAACCACAACTGTAAGCACTCAGGATTAATAAAAACTCCCCTGAAAAAAAATCAAATCAGAATGGATCAATGACCTAATTATAAGAGTTAAAAGAATAAAACTCTCAGGAGAAAACACTGGGGAAAATTTTCATGATTTTGAATCTGGCAGTGAATGCTTAGTTGACACCAAAAGCATGACTAATGAAAGATAGGTTAGAGCTCATCAAAATTAAAAACTTTTGTGCACCAGTGGATATTGTCAAGAAATTGAAAGGATGACCTACAAATGAAAGAAAATAAATATTTGCAAATAATATATCGGATAAGGGTTTAGTACATAGAATATATGAAATTCAACAAAAAGATAAACCCAGTTAACAATGGGCAAAGGACATGGACAGAAATTTCTCCAAAGAAGAGATACAAACGGCCAATGAACACATCAAATTATGCTTAACGTGACTAATTACTATGGAAATGCAAATCAAAAACCACAACAAAGTACCACTTCATAGCTACTAGGAAGCCTATCGTTCAAAAAATAAAAAAAGTATTGACAAAGATGTGGAAAAAATAATAATTGTTAGTAGAAATGTAGAATGGTACAACCACTGAAGAAAACAATTTGATGGTTTCTCACAAAACTAAACATAGACTTACCGTATTACCCAGTAATTATACTCCTAGGTACATTTGCAAAATAACTGAAAATGGGTACTCAAACAGTAATACTTGTATATTATGGTCATGGCAGCACTATTCCCAACCAAAGGTGGGACAAACTCAATGTCTATCAGCAGGTAAGTGCACAAACAAAACATGGCGCATACATATATACAATGAATTATTACTCAGTAACAAAAAGAATTACTGATCCATAGTGCTACAAAGTGAATCTTAAAAACATTATGCTAAAAGAGGCCAGACACAAAAGGCCATACTGTATGATTGTATTTATATAAAATGTGCAGAATAGCTTATTCACAAACACAGAAAGCAAGATGGTGGGTGCCAGGGGCTGGGGAAAGGAAGATCAGGGAGTGGCTGGCTATACAATGGTTATGGTATTTCCTTTGTGGGGTGATAAAATGTGTTGGAGCCAGGTGTAGTGTCTGTAATCCCAGCACTTGGGAGACTGAGGCAGGAGCATTTCAGTGATTTCAAGGCCAGCCTGAACTAGGTAAGTGAGACCTTATCTCCAAAAGCCCTAAAGAAAAAAATAGTTGGAATTAGAGCTGGTGGTTGTACAAATACTTTACAGGTACTAAGTGCTACTCAGTATTTCACTTTAAAATAGTGTTGTGAATTTAACTTCCATGGGGGGAGGGCAGGAATTGAACTCAGGTACCTTGCGCTTGCCAGGCAGGTCCTGAACCACTGAGCTACATCCCAGGCCCAACTTCAATTTTTAAAGTGTTTGAAGCTATCTTGTTCTCTTCTATGGAGGCAGTAGTTTTTCCTAGGTGTTATTTTCTTTAAGCTAATGAAACTGAACCAATTTTGTAAAAAAGTGAAGGGATTCCCCCATTTTTGGGAAAACAAACAAACAAAAAAAACCAACATGAGGACTGAAGGTGGCTTGCTCAGGGCTCCGAGGATATGTGAGTGGGCAGCAATATGGCAAGGCTTGCTCCTTCAAGGTGGGAGTTCCTGCCTAGAGAGCAATGGTCCCTCACTATGTTCCTAGCAGATGGGCAGAAGGAATACTGGTCCTACCTTTGCAGACAGAAATTGGGGCTGATAGGCAAAGGGGATGGAGAAGGAATACCCATGTGTTCAGCACAAATAGTAGCCAAATGTTTCATGGAAAAGGCTGACATTGCAGCAGTTAGTGGAGTTCTTAGGAGATAGCATTACCTCTCAGATGTCCAAGTCAGGGGACATAGTAAAGAAATGACTATACTATTGATTACAGCATATTCTTGTTAATAATAAAAGTAAAACCTAAAATGTTATTCCTTACTCACACAAAATACACAATTTTTATTTACATAAACAACTCACTTGCAGTAGATTTAAGTTTGCTGACTTCTTCATTCACAGTAGAGACAGAAACCAGTGGTACTTGCTGTCTATTATCTGCAGATCTGGGTTGAAAAGAATCATGTATATCTACAGATTTCTGTGATATTGTATCCTAATAAAATAAAAAATTTATTGTTAAAAATTCATTTTTAAACATGTTGAAGGGATGAAAACATTTTCTATTATACTATTCTAAAAAATCGTATCTCTATGAAAGTGACATCCTACACAGTGACTATATACATGACAACTATTTTAAATTACCTAAATATGGAAAAGCTTCCTTTCTGACCTTCATGGGACTAAGGCATGATAAAACAGCAATAAAGTGCTAAGCTGTATCGCATGGAAAAACTGGTCAGAAATATCCACGGGTATTCACAATACCTAGACAAAATACCTATTTGTCAGCATTGGTGGGAGATGTCAAGAGTTTTGTGTAGGTTCAGTCCAGGGAAGCTATGCAAGGACAGTTCAGAGAAGGTTCTTGTCACCCAAGAAAGCAGGGATCAGAAAGGTCAGTGTGAAGGTAACTGACTTGGTATGCAGTGTTATAAAGGAGAAGGGAGCAGTAGAGTCCACACACCCACACGAGAATTTGGGTCCAGCATTATTAAGAAGTAGAACCTTAGGAAAATGATTCATCTCTTGAAGCTGGTCTGAAAACAGAAATGACTCTCCCTGCAGATTAAGAATTAAATGCACTAGCACAGCATCAGACAGTAAGTGGCAGCTGACACTAGGGCTACGGTTCTAGCTTTATTTCTGTGATAATAATATAGCATGGTCAAAAAGAAAAGCCAACTCAGTTTCAGGAGGAACACTCAGCTCCTATTATTTTGACTGAGCCCAGATAGAAGTAACTTGCCCTGGATTCATGAAACAAAGACAGGCCTGTGTTCCCAGAAATAGTGATAAATCAAACTGATATTTTAACTGAGATTTTAAGTTTATGATCTTTCATTTCCAGTTTTGGATAAAATAGGGAAACATGCTCCATACCTGGTCCACAAAACTGCTGGACCAAATATAAAAACATTTTAAAACAACAAAGTACTGAACACATCTAAAGCCATATTATTTTCATACATTTTGTGTCTAACACAGAGGAGGCTTTGAGTAGAATCTGTGTGGCTCCAATATGTATTTGACCATGATAGCTTAATATACTTTTTAAATAAAAATTTAAATGTAAAAATGCTTACAGCAAAACTTCAAAACATTAAAATCCTTTAAGGGAATGTTCATTATTCCAAAATAAGTATGAAAAGAAATGTCAATTTTTTAACTTACAAATTTTAATATATTTTGAAGGAGAAATTAAGCAGATATTAGAATTTAAGATGTATTGTTTTACTGTAGATAAACAGAAGCATTGGTTTTTAAACTTTTTGGCCCCTGGCCTTTTTGACAGCACCCTGATGACTTCTCAGAAGCATCTCACCAGAAAGGTCAATACATACAAAATCTAGGTTACAACATTGAGAGATTAAACATTTATCTTTGTATTAGAGGAATTTTTAAATGCTAGGCATATTGCTTCCTTAATTTTTCTGACTAACCAATGTAAACAAGGACAATTTTTGGTAATCTTTGTGTTTTCAGAAGAGCTCTGCGTCAGAAACAGTATGTCCACTCTTCCCCTTTAAAAAAGGACTGTCTAGGAAAGTGCAAATCAAAACTACATTGAGATTCCATCTCACTGCAGTCAGAATGGCTATCATCAAGAACACAAAGAAATAATAACACTGGTGAGGATGTGGGGGGAAAATGAAACTTTTTTACAACTGTTGATAGGAATGTAAATCAGTACAGCCGCTATGGAAATCAGTATAGAGGTTCCTCAAAAAAACAAAAAACAGCTACCATTTGATCCAGCCTTACTTTGGTATATACCTGAAACAATTACAGTCAGCATAGTACAGGGATCCCTGCATAACCACATTTATTGCTGCACAATTCACAATAGCCAAAATATGGAACTATCTAAAGTGCCCATCACTAGGTGAAGAATATATGCAATATATATACATATATGAATTAGCCACAAGGAACAACAAAACTCTGTCATTTGCAAGAAAATGGATGGATCTGGAGACCATCATGTTGAGCAAAATAAGCCAGACTAAGAAATACAAATATCACATGTTATCCCTAATATGTGGAGTCTAAACAAGATGACAAGAAAATAGAAGGGAGGATATTATTACACAAGAGGAAGAGAATGGGGGGGTGGTGGTTAAGGGTAACCGGGGGGATGGATATGAGCAAAATATATTATACATACTGAACCCCTCAAATGTGAAACTAGGGGGGAGGCCAGGACAACAGAAATGATGGGGGGGGGAATGATCAACGTATGATAAGTACATGTATGAATCTGCCAAAATGAAACCTATTAATCTGTATAACAAATTTTTATAAAAGATTTTAAAAGTGCAGTGAAAAAAAGCCCCTATAAAAGAAATCTATTTATTGACTGATGTGAAGATGTACTTCTTTTTTCTTTTTTTTTTTTGAGATTGTGTCTCAATGTGTAGTTCAGGCTGGCCTTGAACTTACTATGTAGTGGAGGCTGGGCTTGAGCTTCGCCAATTCTCCTGCCTCAGCCTCTCGAGTGCTGCAATTGAACGTGTGCACCACTACACTCGGCTGATGTGGAGAAATTTTCTAGATAGTCTAAACACAAAAAGTGTCCAAAAAGATTTCAAGATTAAAAAAAACTACATATAATAATAAATGCAGAGAAATGGAAAATAAGAAATAAAAGAGCCAACAACAGTAAAACATCATGACAAGGATGAGTCAATATCCCTCAATTATAACTATCAATGTTAATGGCCTCAATTCACCAATCAAAAGAAGTAAACTGACAGAATGGATTAAGAAGCAAAATCCAGCAATATGTTGTATACAAGAAACACACCTAACTCAAAAGGAAATTCATAGACCGAAAGTAAAAGGATGGAAAATGGCTCTCCACGCAACAGGAACCCAGAAAAAAGCAGGGGTAAGCAGTCTTATTTGGAGACAAAGTAGATTTCAAACCAAAACTAATTAAGAGAGACAAATATGGTCACTACATCCTTGTGAAGGGAACAATTCAAGAGGAAGAGATGACAATCCTAAATATATATACACCAAATACGAATGCCCCCAACTATACAAAACATATATTAATGAACATGAAAAACCAAATAAGCATTAATACAATTGTAGTGGGGGACCTCAATACCCCACTATCACAAATAGACAGATCATCTAGACAAAAACTTAACAACGAAATTCAAGAACTGAACCAAGCTAGTGAACAAATGGACTTAACAGATACTTACAGTGTTCCACCCCACAAAATCAGAATACACATTCTTTTCAGCTGCACATGGGTCATTCTCCAAAACAGACCACATGCTAGCTCACAGGACATGTCTAAGTCAATGTAAAAGAACTGAAATTAACCCCTGTATATTATCAGACTATAGTGCAATAAAATTGGAGATCAATAACATGAGAAACTGCAAAACTCCCACAAACACCTGGAAACTGAATAACACCCTCCTGAACAACCAATGGGTCAGAGAAGTAATTAAAGAAGAAATTAAACAGTTTATACAAGTAAATGATAATGCCAGTACAACATACAGGAATCTACGGGACACAATGAAAGCAGTTCTA